CTTGTTCCCGCGCCATAAACAAGGCGTCGAACACGCTCATTGCTCACACGGTGTTCCCACCAGATATGAGCCAAACTGCGAAGGCACCGGTGGTCGAACGTAACTAGCCTCTTTATGTCGGCCGATCTAATAGGCTGGAAAAAATGTAATTACCAAGCGCTGTGCTGATGATGAGTACATATGTAGCTTGCTTGTCTTCTCTTAGATCTCGGCCCCGCGTGGCGACGCCGGCGACTCATTAAACCAGCTTGGCTGAGGCACTCGTGACCGCATGTGCTACAGCACAATGTGCTCGATGTCGATGGACCATCCACCATTAGTGTCTGTCGCCTCCGTGCCCAGCGTTTCTGCTCCGCGTTCAACAGTGTTTTCTGCTACACGCGGGCAACTGCCTCCTTGATAAGCTCACACCATCCGTACCGATCAACGGCCATTAATTAATATTAGTTCGTGTAACATCACTTCGATCATGTCTTGGTAAGGTAACTACTGTTTTATCGCATGTCGCTTTCCTGCACGCAGTTGGCCAGAAAGCATCTGTTTCGGTATCTGGGTCGAATCTATGTTGCGAACAAGCCCGAGCCATCTCAGGTGCCACAGCAGAAGTACGCAGTCCACCGTATACATACCAATGCGGCGCAGCGCTTCTGTGTCTGCAACTCTGTCGCGTCAACCGATGTGTATAATAGGGTACAAACACTTGAAGAAACGGTTTCAAATATCTGACATCCGGTACATCGTCCAGATTTCGCTGCGGTATAGAGCGGACAACATCATCGACCTGTATACCAGCAGTCTAGTTTCAATGGTAAGCTGATGGTTGTTCCACACACGTTTCTCCAGTTTGTCATACGCAGCAACCGCGTTCGATACGTGCATGCACAGCTCGCTCATCACCAAGATAGCAGCATCTCGAGGTGGTTTCCAAAACGTTAGCGCCAATGTGGATTTGCGGTAGACCCACGGATTCCACTTCTGGAGAAGGCTGATAAGGACAAACAGTCTTGCTTGTGTTGATGGTAAGCCTCTAAGGAAGCGAGAGCTGTAGTCAAGAACAATGAACAGTGAACAATGATTTATCACGGGTAAAAAAGCATGCGCTGGACAAGTCCCGTAGGATGATCGGAGTGAAAATTAAAAGTGAAAGGCTCAACAAATAAGTAAATCGTCATTTTAAGCGTCTACCGGTGTAAATGTACTGTTTCATAACGATAGTTTGGAAAGGGAATGGGACGTGCAAACACAAAATAGTACAGAGAGCGGTTATAGTTCAGTAAATGCGTGAGAAAGAGAAAGGAAACAACGATGATCTCTCGTGTGTTGCTTCATTTGACAGATGTGATGCGTTAACCCAGTTTAGATACATCCATGTTACTTACAAGGACACTACTGCATGTATCCTCACCGCCACGTTGCGGAGAGGGCCGTTAAGCATATCGTTTGGTTTGTGTTATTTCGTCCTCTGAGTGAAACAAAGTACAACAAATAATGCAAGTTGGAAAGCGTGCCATCAAGGCATTTTTGGAATAGCGTTACTGTAGGAGCAAGGATGATGTGAGTTAGAAGGGCGTTCAAGGTACGGGACACACGGAGGGAGAAAAGGTTTCGTCGACAATCAAGTCGACTTTAGTGTGTAGCCAGTTTGAGCTGATGGCCTCTCAGGTTGGTATTTTGGCTCAGCTGCAACAGATTGCGACAGGGGTGAATTGGGTTCGTCAGTGTTAAGTAAACCATGATGTCTCCTTGCTGACGTGGATATTCACCACTGCACAATTTCAGGGACTGCAGTCTGCGCTAGTAGGAGAGAGGAAACAATCCTCTAACGAGCTTGGCTGCTCTACGTTGTGGAGCTTCAAGTGCACTGATGCCGCGCTTGTGCCAGGACGCCAGACCTGGATCGCATATTCCACGTGGGGCCTCACGTAGGCCTTCAGCATTTGCGGAAAGATTGATGACTCGAAATTTCCGAAAGCCCCCAGTAAGAGTCCAAAATGTTGAGTGGCTCTTTTGATGCATTTGCAGCTTGTCTCGAGGAGTCAAGATCGTCCTCCACGACCGTCCCGAGGTAGCTTTCCTGGGAAGCACGTTGCAACTGTTGGTCCCCAGCCGACATTCATGAGTAAACTGATGATGTATGCTCATGACTTTGCACTTTGTTACCTTGAACTGGAGCATGTTATCGGATGACCACGCATAAGCCCTGTCGAGATCGCTCTGCAATGCCATGTGATCACCCGCTGCCTAGATGTCAAGCCAAATTTTGACATCATGTGCTCCCACTCATCCGCGCTGTGTACAAAACAACGCACAGGCGTCACAAAACAGCAACATACGGATGGTTGTCACACACACACTAGGGTTCTCGCCCCGAAAAGACGGATATTCAGCAATCCACTATCCATATGGTGCTCCACACGGACACCGTAATCACAAACAGAATCAAAGGCACAAGACATCATTGAAAAAAGACAAGTATTAAATCGGGCAGGGGCTAAGATACAACCTTGCTTCCCATCAGAGATAACAGCAAAGTCATCCGAGGCTCGTCTACAGAGCTGACCGCTCGCCCGCATACCACTGGGTAGACCTTTAATCAAACTTACAAAGTTACGAGGACAACCAAACTTACCCAACACCAGCCAGAGTGCGTCGCGCTTCACCGTGTCAAATGCGTTGGTGAAGTCTGTAAACAGCGAATACAATGGCTGGTGTCGCACTCCGCATTTCTCCTGCGACTGACAAGCCGCGAACACCATATCTATGGTGCTGCAGCTTGAACGGGATCTGCATTGCTTTTCCGCCACGTTCGGTTCAATGACTTGAGTGACGAAGAGGTTTAACAGGATACGGGCGATCCCCTTCCCCACACAACTCAGAACGTTGATGCCACGATAATTCGGACAACACTGCTTGCTCCCTTTCCTCTTGTACAGTGGTAGCACAAGGGTATTCTTCAGATAAGCCGGCAATTCCTCTTAAATCCACACGTGTTGCACTAATTGGTGAGGCGCATGCATCAAAGCGAGTCCGCGTGCTTCACACTTCAGGCGGTATCACATCGGCTCCGGCGCACTTGCCGTTTCTCAACTGAGCCCTATGCGTCTCATCCAGTGTTAGTGTGTTTGCAAGATCCATCTTTATCTCTTGCTGGTGCAGCTCGTGAAACATAGGCCGGTCAATCTATGAACGGTTGTTCAATAGACAGTCAAAGTGCTTTCGCCAGATCTGCATTATGTCTGCCTGTGCACATATGCCGGTAACAGGAAAGGTCTAATGGAAGTACCATACACTACACCCAAACTTATTGTTTAACAATAGGTAAAGAATATATGTGACAGTGTTACGGAGATAAAGCTTACAGTCAGCGAGCAAGTCGAGAGCAGTGGCGCAAGAGTAGATCGACCTACAAGTAGAGAAGGAATTCGAGTAGAGATCAAAACGCGAATTTATGTGGGATCAGCGGCAAGTTGAACCATGAACATGAACCGTTTGACTTGTGTTAATTAATATTAATTAGCATCCAATTTTGTTGTGTTGGTAGCTTGCTACAACCTATTTATTGCGTCATGCTCTCATACAATAAAAATTCATCTGTCCGGTTATTTTCTTGGCGTTCACAACTGATTCAGACAGGTTATCCGTGCACTCAGCGGGAAACCACAGCATATTTCTGGCGACGAAGGTGGGAATGGAACCCACGCGAGGAAACTCCATGGAAACCATAACAGACAGCACCTACTCCAGACTCGTTACAAGATGGCATAGTTGAGGGCGATAAATCAGTATGCCAGCTCAAAAGCTACCCTAATACACTCGGTAAGAAGCGTAAACCTTCAATTCTGTTACCATAAATGACCGTGGACACTCAGTCAATTCGGAAGATAAGTTTTGCGGAGCGACTAAACTTATGAATTTGTAGTACATACGTGATCGAGCTCACCTTGTGTCGAACCCTGTCTCTGTGCAAGCATCACTTGGTAGGCTGACACAGAGCACTGCATCCTGCAGAATATGCTTCGTAGCATTTACATGTAAGATAATGTTGCAGGACTGGAACCACTCACTGCTAGTTATATCTAGCATCGAACAGGTACTGGTAGTAGACGATCAGTTCATTCACTTAAGTAAGTGTAGCAATCCCGGCGGATACATCACCGAGCGAATTACCGAACCTACCAACACAGCACGCGTGACTATTCTAAGCTTAGATCAGCAATAGAAACTGCGGGATATCAGTCTATTAGTGATACAGCGAAAGGCACAATGTGGATTAGGGATACGCCACATTGTACTGAAGACATTTACACAGTAGCCATCTTTGGTTATCGGTGCTTATGGAGTAGTGCCTACTTCTAGTTGGAGTAGCTGCTGATAAGTCCTGAAATCCGCCTTTGATATCTGGAAAGAAGTCTGTCGTACTGGAACAGCTGCTAAACTTGAACCACGTAGGCTCACATGATTACAACCACCGTATACCCATAGACCAGCGTGAAGTATACGCTGATGTTCAACATGTTTTGGTGACGTCGCACTGTCGCTAATAGGTGACATGGACTAGATGCATGAATAAAGCGACCGAGAAATTCGGTTAGCGTAGGTGGGTGGGAGCCTCGGGATAAACCGAATTAGCGATTAGAGGTTTTGTAGAACATGGGGCAGTAGAAGGGTCAGCGACATCATCAACATTCCATTTTAATGCACTCAGTATCTGTTTACTCACCTATGCGGCTTTGCCTCATTCTCCCCACCAGTGATAATTATTGTTATCCTGGCAACATGAACCGTAACAAACGGATCCACCGCATCATGGTACTCGATCCACAATTGTCTAACCGTGCCGTATATCTTGGGTAACGACACTACTCACAGGAAGTGAGTAAGCTGAGTAAAACCCCGTGCCAAGTGAGTATTGGGTGGCGAACAAACAGTGGTATAAGAGCTATCAAAACAGGAGATAGGTAAACATAATTTTAGCATTCTGTTATTTATATATCACTTACCTTCGGCAGGCTTCCGTCAAGCGCAGCAAACCCTTTCGGGTGATTCCGGTCATTCGAGACGCCACAGTCAGGCCAGCGTCGGACAACTTTCCAGTTCCCAGCATTTGGTAATCTGGTAGCTGAATGGCTGTTGAGACATCCAACGGAACTATTCTTACATAAGTGGCTGACTCGGCTTGTTCTACGCCATGGACTGTAAGAAAAGCGTACTGCAGCAGATCGTAATACCGCAGAGCAGGGGTTCGTGACCCTAACTGACCCGGGTACACGTCGCTGCCACAGCTCTCTAAGAACAAGAGAAGACGAAGACCTTGTACGCCGGGAATTGGGAAAATTGGTTCAAAGTTTCCCATCGCAGCTCTGTAGCGCTCATCCACGAATTCGGTGAGTGTTCGAAGATCATCCGGAGTGAGGTGTGAGACGAGACTGCCCAGTTTATCTGGTAGTGCCTTGGAGGAAACGTGTGAAAAGCACCCATCAAGAATCAAAAATGCAGGCCCCGCTCATAATAAGCTGGACCCAGAATGTAAACGAATAAAATTGGCAGACACCCACTACTGGAGTGTGTAAGCAACAAAATCTAATGACTCGGTAGGGCTACGACAGAGAACAAAAAGCTGTGCGAGATAAAGAGAACAAGATACGATGTATTGCGTTTGTCCCAAAAGTGGTCAACTTGTAAACTAGTGGAGACCCTCGTAGTTCGGGAGACGGAAGAGGAGGCTAGACTGATTTTCAAGTTGGTTGTGCTGTTTGCAGACGTCTCGTCACCAGAGTAGACGAGTTCATCAGTCCAACATTCCCAGAAGTTAATAAGGAAGGAAGCAGTTGTAGTGGTGTTTCATAATCTTCACCTAATAACTACCGGCCTATTAGTCTGACTAGCATTTTTCTCAAGTGTCTAGAGAAGATCATTAGGAATCGAATCTGTGAACATCTTTCTGTTAATAACTTGGTTGGAGCAGAACAGCATGTTTTCGTCAAGAAAAATCATGCCTTACTAACCTGCTGTGTTTCCTTGGTGAAATAACTAGATGTCTCGATGATGACATACCAGTAGAAGTATGTTTAGTAAAGCTTTTGATTCAGTGAACCACCGTTTCTCGTTAGAAAAAAGTCCTGGTTTGGAATCCCAGCTCAACTGCTTTCTTGGCTGTCTGCATTCCTTTATGGTAGGACATTTCGTGTCAGGGTTGGTGACGTTATTTCGACGACAGGCACTGCTCACAGTGGAGTTCCCCAAGGATCAGTACTCGGTCCGTTGCTATTTCTCATATTTATAAATGACTTCGCCCTTCTATTTGAAGACCACCTCCTATTTGAAAAACTGATCAGAAAGGAGATGATGAACTTTGTTGGTTCTATTGGCCTGAGAAATAATTCGCAGCATGGTTTGCTTAACAAGCGATCGTGCACCATCTGTCAACTGCAATAACTTAACCACATTTCAGAATCCAGCGATTCCGGATATGCAGTAATAATCCTGTTTCCTGAGATACACCAAGCATTCGACCGAGTACCGCACAAGCGACTTCTACAAAAGTTGGAGAGGTTTGGGAGCCGGGACCCATTACTAGGTTGGCTATTGTCATACCTGAGTGATCGCCATCAGGTAGTCACCTTGGGTGATTATCGCTCTGCCGTTGAGCACATGAACAGGGTAGGCACCGAAACGTTCGATGGCTACTTATGGTGAAATCACTGAGTCGCTATGAGCTGAGGTCCGTCCAGCCTTAACGAAAGCCGACTGTGTTGTTAACTCAGTTTCAGGCTATTGCCTGTAAACTTGTTGTTCGGGATGAGTTGCAGTAGGTGGCAACATTTGTACGTGGAGTCGTTCCGTATCGGATAGACCAATATGAGGTCTCCACGTAGCCACCTGTAACGTCTACTGAAAAACCCGAGTGCTTTTAGTCGCTGCTGGTACGAAAGGTGGCACAATCTCTTGACACATTTTGTTGCTCGACCATGGTGAGTTTCGAGCGCTACAAAGTCACGGTTTAGCCAAGCGTGCCAAGCCTGGATTGCGTAGTTGACGTGAGAACGAATGTAGGCATGGAGCATCATAGAGAAGATGAATGAATCAAAACTTTCGAATGCCATCCGCAAGCTAACAACGTGCTGGTTACCATTTATGAAGCGGATTCCGACTGTCTAGAATAAGGGAAGTCATCCTGCTCCAGCACACTGAGGTCAAGTTCCTGAGGGCTTTTATGAAGGTCATATGCCCCAATTTTCTAGAGATAGACGTGTCTCTGGCTTATATCGACAATGTGTCACTTGACCATATTTAATGCCAGTGAATTCCTCACCTGTCAATGCCAGGTCCCATCTAGGTCACACATGGAGGATCTTGTGGTGGTCCATTCTCTTGATCGCCGGCCAACTTTTAACGTTATCCGAAAAAGTAAAAATTTTGAGGTGATGGCTCTCGCAATATCGTCGCACTTCCCTAGATTAGGGTCGGTAGAGATGTTCGGACTCTAACCTAGAACTGCTGTTCACGGAGAAGATTACCAACCCATCCTAATAATGTATTGACTACGTTTTCCAAGTAGCACATCAGTACGTTAGCGATGACAGCTTCCATGACTTTGGAAAGGGCAGAGAGAAGTGTTACCGGACCATAATTGGTAGGATCAGACGGACTTCTCTGTAAGAATCCGGCAAGTGGCTGGGCTAGGGGAATGACTGCTGCCCATAGTGCTTTAGGGTGAAGGTTATCCACTCCAGGAAAGCTGTGTGTATGCAAGGTAGTAGTTTTCTGAGAACAATTTTTGCTATGAATTTGATGCTGGATAACACTGATGGTGTGGGGACAGAAGCAAGTATAAAATTTGAGGCTAGTACCGCCTAGAAAATTGGCCATGAGGGGTTGTCCGCCATTTTTGTTGTTAACGAAGCTTGTAGCAGTACAATACTATTTCTTGACTGCTGGGTCACAGGAATGGGGAAAATTTAAAGACGATAATATATCGCAAGCCAACAGATACTGTCGGCGCACTCCCCTACATTTCGGGTCATCCGAAACAGGTTTACGCTGGGATGGCCTCAGTGCTGTTCTACAGGACACAAACCGTGTGCACCATGGAGGAGGACAACAAGGCTGCGCAGAAAGTGGCGATGATCAAACTATTCGAAAGTGGTTACCCACGGCGGCTACTCAAACGCCAATTGCATAAAGTGCTAAACCGGCAGTCAAGACCCACAACCAAGTGGATAGGGACGGTAGGAATTCCATACAAGGAAGGAACTTCGGAGGCGATTCGGAGGGTACTAAACAAGAAAAATATAAGGGTGATCTTTCACCGAGGTCGAAGGTTACTTTCGGCGCTGGTACACCTGAAGGACCCCCTTCCCATGGATAAGACGATTAACTGCGCTTATAAAATTAAATGTAAGGACTGCGCATATGTGTACATAGGTCAAACAGCGAGAATTACGCACAGGAATTTCAGAACACAGGAGGCGCATTGCAAGACCACCAAGAAACGAGTGTGAATACCAGGCAATAGTAAAAGACTCGGCCGTCGCTGTGCATGCACTAGACACAGGTCACCAGATAGACTTAGAGAACGTAGAGGTCATTAAGAGGGGTATACGATCAACACCTCAGCGGTTGATTGCCGAGGCGGTGGAAATTGCCAAATCTGACGACTGCGTGAATAGAATGGAGGGGGTAGAACTCTCTAATGCGTGGCGAGCGATCTTAAGCCGGCCAGCCTGACGAGCATCGGTGCGTGGATCAGATTGGAAAGTGCAAACCGACTCCCATTGTCAACACTATGGGCTTATCTGTCAATGTCATGACGCACAAAGGAACACCTGAACTATTCCCAATGTGATTGAACCACCTGAGGTGACATCACGAACTGTTACCGTAATGACACCTTGGCGCAAGCCTCGGGGAACGCGCTTATTACCCTTGTTCGCTATAAAATCCCACTCCAATTGCACACGGATTCACCTGGTATGACAAAGCTTTTGTGTCAAGGGCGAGACGTTACTAAACTACTATACCAACCGATTGTTTCCATACTTCTCTGAACTCATGACTACTCGATCGGTTTCAAGTATCTACCAGGAATTCGAAAGTACAGTTGTAACACCTACGGACAATTAACCAACACAGAAGCGAGGAGAGATAAAATTAAATGCGTACGATAATCTTGTCAGCCTGTTTAAACTATCATGACAGCAGGAGTAAGGATGTGAATAAACCTATGGTAAGATTCAGTACATAGAACATATTGGAACAAAATCCATGCAGGAGAAGGGAATTGTATCGGGGACATGGAGGCTGTAAGCCAAACGTTTGTACCACTCCTCCACTAAGTAGTAAGTAAACACGGTCAACGAGAACGTTATGACAAATTTCGCAGCTTCAATTTTTGTTAGTAAAAGCTAAGAATATGTTCCGAGTAAGGGTAGTTGAAAAAGGACGCAGGTTCGGGTGGACCAGTGCCAGTGGGGCAGCTGAGAGCATAGTCAGAAGAGTAGATGATTGATTTATCATTAAGATCAACGGCAATGACATTAAAAGATCGCGGCGATCCACTGATTGTTGTCTTAGCAGCTCCATACAACACCACATGATGTAACATATAGTCACCTATAGATGAAATGTCGTCAGCTACAATGTTCAAAACAGCTAAAGCACGCCGTGTGAACACCACTAGGGGATATACAGTATTTGCGAATACCTCTAGAGTGCGCATAAGAATTACATTACGGTGGTTTAATGGTCCTGGGGAAGGCAAGCTATTAAAATTTTTGAACGGAAGAAGAATTCAATGACCACAGAGTTACATATCAACCGTTAAAACCAGATACATACACATAGGCGGTCGACCGGAGACAGCCCAAGTTTGCGACACTGTCCACTGTAGAGACGTATGATCTTGGAAATCCACATATAGCGAAACCCAAGATCACGCACAGGTCTAAGGGGAGACATATCCTCCGAGTGCATCGAGAGCATCCAGCGTTAGTTCCCTTGACCGCAAGGTGGACAGCATGAAAGACGATATCTACTCGGATTCTTCTGCAGTCAAGTTTCTGCTAGGCGACCGACTGACCAACACGGAGTATGCGGTAAATATATTGCATGTGAAATCGGGCTGAGCTCTATTAGTCTTGTTGAATAGACCAACAGGGGCTGGAGCATGCTCCGGCAACTGGTTCACCTCTTCGAAGCCCAGACATGACTGAAAGGGCAGACTGACAAACCATTGGTTCTTGGAGGGAAAACGACTCAACGCGACGGATTGATTCAATTGGTTGGGTTGATATGCCGTTTCTGCAGGTCAGCTCTCTGGAGAGACTAATGTGACCTTATGATAGCCTGTAAAACTTTAGGGGCTTTATCCATCAGTAGTTATGCCAAGTTATGAATTAAGGATAGAGTCTATAAAGTTAAAGTGTGGCAAGTGTTCTGTGTGGATCAGACGTCTGATTACTGCGCTCTGTGGGTGCAAAAAGATAGATCGTTTCCGACCATCGGTGTCCACAAAACGCGGCACGCATCTGATGACTGAAGCGTGTGACCTAACAGACGCTTTCAGTAACTAACTTATTGGCGCTATACTCGGATTAGTGGCTAAATTTGACGACGACGCTTGGTTTAAGTTCTAATGATGCCCAACGAAATGATATCGAGGTGTGTATTGTATGCGATTACCGAATGCAGCTGAGTGAACAATCGGTGAAACGACGAAAGCGTAGGAAGAGGTCAGTGGACATTTTGGCCGATCGATTGCGTGACCACATGCTTAAAGGAGAACAATAGATCGGCCAATACAGTGGTTGGAGAATCCGTACGATAATTGTGGAGTCAACAGGACCCTTGCGCTAGTTGTGCACTTCAAATGTTATGCTTGGTATCCATCGACAACAGCTTCTTCAAATCAGTATTGCTGCCTAGTTACATGTCTGTGTCGCGAGGTTGGGCCACCGTGCTCTCTACCTTACGCACGTATCTTATCGGAAGGCACAAAAGTCCGGAACGGACTGAAGACGGTTTCCGTTTGATAAAAAAACGGTTGCACAAACAAGTCAACCCTAATTCTCTGTATGGAGAAAGTCCACGCCATCCAAACTTTAATGGCTTGGCATTGAAGTCCGATTATGCCCCGTTTGCTGATTAGCTACTAAGATGCACAGTGTTGGCAGTTCACTCACTAGAGTAACTATGGCCCACTCACAGTTCCGATAACCTAGCACACTGTGAGGTCGTACGTATGCATTCGTTCGGTGACTTGGCCGTACAGTTTGTTTATGATTTCCGTCAGATCAACTAGTTGTCAGCAACTGCGATTGTCATGGTGGTGTGGTTCAGAGTAACTCAGGCCAATCGCGCTTCAAAAATCCGCTATACATGATTAACTGAGCGGAACAGAACAGTTAATAACAGATACATCGTCGCCATGATTAAAAGTGATAGTAAATGAGGAAGTAGAACCGACAGCTCACTGCCGGACAATCAATGTAACGAAGCGAATGAAGAATAATAAGTAGCAGTGAGTTAAAATTTTGTGTAAAACCCAAACGCTCCCAGCGAACATTTAGAGTCAATGCACTGACTATTCAGCGAAGGTAAGGTCGTACCACCGTCCTTCAATGCCCCGCGTCTTAAGCAGCCTCACCCAACACAGATCTATGGTTTAAGCATACACATACCAGGTTTTGTCTTTAAACTGGAAGACATATCGACGGTTTGATGATGATTGGTCTGCTTGGTTCGTCGCTGGAGCATATTGCCACGAGAAAGACCAAACGGAAGAGCTGTTATTGGTTTTAAAAACAGGCAACATAGAAATGAAGTTCTGTCAGAGGATCGGTCTACAAGATCGGAATTTGGATGATGTATTGCTGTAAGATAAAAGTAGTTTACGTTACGAAAGAAATATTTATAACCCGGATGGAATTTAAGTGGTTTTTACTAGCACGACAAGCTGTCTCCCTCAGGACATCTATGTTCGACGCACATAGTATATGCTATCCAAGTGTGGCAGCCGTGGCATAAACAGGATCTGGTTGCTCTCGAGATTCATCAACAAAACGCAACCAAGAACGTCAAGGGCCTCTTTCGTTTATTCTATCAGCTTAGACTGAAATCTCTAAGAAAGTACGGTAGTTGATATCGGCTTTTGCGGGGGGATCTCATAATGGTTTGCCAGATTCTGAAGAACCCAAACTACATTTACCATCCGCTGCTGGAATTGAACTACAACATCAATCTAAGAGGTCATCCTCTGAAACTGAAAGTGCAGTATAGCCGGCTTGAATGTTGTAGAAATTGCTTTTCCCTCAGCGTGTGCCAGCCTTGGAACGCCCTCTCTACTTATGTCGTTTCTGTACCCAATCTGGTGATATCTAAAAAGCGAGTTGACGATGCGTTGCCTCATTTGCATTTCATAGTATAACTTGCTAGCCAGGGGCTACAAAACGCAATCAAACGATGTCTTACCAAACTCCCAAATAATGGATTTATGGATTTAAGCTTTTAAAACGCGAACATCTCCGCTATCCTACATAAGTCTATGATGAGTCCATCAAAACGCTTTTCACTTTATCATAAAATTTAATTTTCGCCATAATTCCCATCCCACGGGACTTGTTAAGCATTGCTTTTCTACCCGTAATACACCATTGTATCACTGTTCCAATTCAGTGCGGTGACGAAGCGATACACAGGTGGCAGGGCAAACGATGTCGATCATTACTGGGTCTCAGGCAACTATGCCCAGAGGGTCGTCACGATACGGATAGACAGCTTCACAGCAAAAGTTGATCGATCATGATCTACAAACCAGAAGACGTTGGGTTTAGGTACTATGGATCAGTCATGCTGGTGTGGCCATTGCTGATGGATATAGCAAAGGCACCGACTGCAAGCAGTAACCGATCAACTGTGTAGGTAAATTCATGTGAGGCCTCAGAGGCAGCTACAATCCCGCACTGAGTAAAGTTTGGATTTCAGAAATAAGGAATGTATCAGAAATAAGTGGACGGGGCATTTGACAGTTAACCAAAGCGAATGGATGGGAGAACCGTATAAACAATTACTAGGAGATGGTCAGCCAGAAAGCAAATTGAACGCACTCAGTTACCATATGTTAAGAGAAGATTTCTGTTCTAGGACCGAACAAAATCAATACCATGGATTAGAAAAGGTATCCGGGTCATGTGTAAAAATGGCTGTTGATGGCGTCAAATCCGAAATGGAAGCGCGAAGCATTCGGACTGAATGCAAATTAGGTGATATTGTCAAAATATCATTGAATAAAATGCGTGAAATGACCGGACCATCTCACAAATAACATGTAGTAGGACTAATGACAATGGTTGTAAGCGATCATGTATGTCTCGTGCCTCGTGCCCCATGCTAACGCTGATGTTGCATTCATGATGCTTCTTCACCGCAGTGGGGTTAAACCAACTTAAACTTACACTAGCCTTTTTAAGCCGGATAAATTTAATTCCACTTCATTTGCTTTGTTCTGCCTACCTGAATAATTTTCTATTAACCGGTCAGGTTGCTTACGCTAATTGCGCTTATCTTCGGTAACTTTATTGCGTTTGTAGCATATTTCGAGTAACTTGTGGATATTTTGTACTTATTGCTTATTCGTTGATAACCAACTTACTTTATATGCTAATTTAGCGAAGAGTTACCCCTGCATAGCCGTATGCTTTGACATATATATTTTACTAGATAATGGATTTCAAGTGAATAGCTGTTGGTTGACATCTCCCGGTGTGGCTAGGGTTGGTGTGCATGTTGACTAGGTGCCTACCTTTCAATTACCCACTACCTAGTCCATACTGGCTCCAGGAGACAGTTGGTCGTTGCTGGAGGGGACAGGGTGCACGGTCCTTGTGGTCGTGCTAGGCTCGAAGAGTGGTTCCATGCACTCAGTGTGAAGCGGACTACGGTCCAGCCACCGACTTGTGTGCACTTGATTCCTCAAATACAGCGTGCTTGTGTTTGCCTGCGAAGGAGTGTGGGTCAGCTCCGTTGATGAAACGTGGCTCCCATCCACATGCCTCCCGGTCTTATTCCTTCGGGTTTACACTGGATATGGGGTGTGTGGATGGAGCTGTGGCTGCTGCAGCGCAGGCCACCAATGGTCCCTCTGTACACACAGCGTCCTGTGGCTGTCCTATGGAGGCCACAATGACAAGCAAATCCGGAAGCGGATAATGCCGACCATGCCACGAAAACGATCCCGCCGCCCGAACACGATTGCAAGCCACATCTATTATAACTTAAATGTTCGCAATTCCATGCATTGCGTACACAAGTCTCCTATTGTAAAGAAATCAAACCACGCAACGTAATCTTTAAAACTCACCAAACTCGATGATTGCAAGGGTGGGCGGTGCACTGAATGCTTACGGACAGCCGTAGGGCGTGGCATCGACCTTGATGTGCGGCACAGCTTTGCCGAATGTTCCTTGGAAAAGCATACGCCGGTTTGCCTAGACTGTGAAATCAGGAAACACAAGAATGCTGCAGTCACATAGGGAGGAATAATGTGGTAGATCAGAAGGAAAGATAGCAGCGGCACATTGCACCCGCGCCTATCCGCCACGTGACGGCAACTAGTTGCGTGTGGGTTAGAACACTGTGATGTCGGTCGGATCTACACACGCCCGAACCGGGGACTAGTGGATTACATGTCAGACTCCCAAACCACTAGGCCACCGGGCGATAGAGCAAAGCGGAAACGGATTGATGCCCAACCATGTTTCCATAAGCAGAAGCTTACTAAGTGCACAGCATAGAAGGGCAAAGATGGTATCAATGGGGACGATGGTGCTGAGGCTACCACCGAGGTTACAATAGCAAGATCTCTGTATAGTAGAAGGGACAAAAAATGCAATGTGGGGAGTGACCGGATTGAGTTCTGATGCACAGATCGCAACTGAAAGGATTAACACCCGTCTGTATGGAGAACCAAACGCAATTCGAAAGACAGCATCCGGGTAAGTTCAAAGCAGCGGAATCGAACAAAAATTATGGGTTACTTCATATTAATGGGACAAGGAGAGCGCTGTTCACTTCTCAGTAATCGAAAATCGGGAATTCAGAGATCGAATATAAGGTCACTGTCTGTACCGCACATGAAAGTAGCCGTTATGTGAACTCGACACACAATTGCTTCGACTGCATATCCGATACCTGAAGGGCGATCTGAGGTAAATGACTTATTCAGGTAGTTGCAAAAACCCGAATCGAATGGTGAGGAAATATCTTTGGGCCATACGAACCCGGTTCTAAATCGCATCAATTCAGAGACTGCAAATAAGGTGTAAAGCAGTACTTGAACTGAGCAAAACCAAAAAGCATATATTAAGCGCGAGTAAATTTCCTGTAAACTGTTTGAAAATGTGAAACAATATAGCAGGCGAAGATCAACAGCCTTGAATAAAATGCTTCTCATGGAGATTCGTTACACTAAATCTAATCAAACAACTACCGCATATTGTGAAATGCATTTGACACGTTGGTCTTACTCAGACTCCCCAACAGTGCACAATCGCTAGAGCCCCGTTGGATCCGAAGAAATTTCGCCGTTGGTTTATCGCCGACGGCTACAGTTGACTTGGACAAAGCGCAGGGCAGATCGACTTTACCTCCCTTGTTGTGCACTTTACTGTGGTGCGCAGGACACGGTTGACCACGCAATGAGGCTGACGATGAGGAACCTCCTTGAAAATCTAAAATGCATCCCCTCCCCGAGGTGAGCTTCTAGTGGTGCCAGAATTGACACTATCAAATGTATTAGCATGTCAAGGTCGGGCGTGCGAACTGGATATAGAAAGTGAGTAATTCGGTGCACAGTTCTTTGTTACCTGGATTAAATATCATGGAATCTGCATGCGGGCGACGGGAACGTTGATCTAAATGTGGGACTCATAAGGTTAAATAAAGGAAACGACGCAGAACACATGCAATGGTGAGTTTTGGGTCACCAAGAAAGTTATACACGCAGGAGAGGTGCCGAATGTCAAAGATGTCGCTTCTGAGCTACACTAGCACGTTTTATTCTACTAAGCAACATGACGATTAATACAAGTCCAAAGTCAAAACACGCCGAATGCAATCAAATGGGTTCGTTTTCAGCATTTACACCATCGCTGCGGACTTAGTAGAAAATAATATCAATGCAAAGTGAGAGGCAAGATGAACCGAATAAATAGTAGTCAGTCCAACCACTCGCGCAGTGTGCTTATGACCTATGTTGCGTAGACTAGTTAGCGAGACAGATAAAAGAATTTTACGATACGATGAGATTCGACAAAATAAAACGTTAGATTTTTGAGGTATGGGAGAAAATGAACAGTAGCACCACAAGAACGCATAGAGGAGAACTGACTAGATAAAAAGAATCCCAGACTTACCAGACATCGCAACCCTTCCTCACTAGACATTAGACGTGAGTGAAACAGATGCTTCTGTCTCTCGTCCCAAGACAGCGTCAAATCCCATAAACGAGGGTCAGACAGAGGATAGAAAGGATTGATCCCGAAGTTATTGGTTTGATTAAGATGCTTCAATTTATCGGCATCTGCGGCTTGAAATTTAACCAAGGGGTATTTCGGACAAGCAGCGCCACGAATAGGCTTCGAATCGCCAAGAGGACGGTTCGGTGGGGTTTGCGTCCGGTTGAACGGGAGTGTGGAGGAGGGAATACGACTGACCGCTTTACTTCTGGTCCCGAACAAACCGAAAGTACTGTCTCCAGTGATGTCGTTTGTAGACAGTGAGGTTGAGGTAGACGTAACTTCATCCAGAGATGGAATTTGAAAGTTGACGCAGCGATATTCGGGTGGCAATCGAAATCCTGCGACATTGAACATGTCTGTGACAACTTCAGTCTTTACTTCATTGTCAAGATTGGAATTCGTGTGCAAACTGTAGACGTATTCAAAAAAAACAAATGCGCTCGGATTTTGAGTACACGCTAAAACATGGAAACGGGTGTGAACCTGCAAATCCTGCCAGTTTTCTTCATACAGTAGACGTCACTATGGTTTCAATGGGATCATTTATATATGCGCTAGTGAGGTGCAAAAGAATCTACTGGAGTAGTCAGTATATGCACGTAGATTATCTATGCAAATTTGAAACAAACGCTTTCTAGCCGGCATGTCAGCAGTAGCATCTAAGCACATGGTATCAAAGGTGGACAACTAACTACCTTCGAGGACTACTGTCATCAGTCCTAAGATCTTCTAAAAATCACAATAATTCACTCTGAACCCCAGCACTACCACTCGAACGGCGTTACACTATTTCAACCTAAAAGTTCACTTGTACGCCTTACGCATTTGGGTGTTAAAAATGCAGGCGTCCCAATAGCATGTGCCTAATAGTTCAAGACACACTAGTAAAGCAACTACAACCAATTCTGCTGTGATGCGGTACCTTCACTGCATAAGATTCGCACTTAACTTAGGCACAGATTCTACTTTGCTCATCATTGTGTCATGAAGAAGTAAATCTAAGAAAATGGATGCTAATATTTCAGCAACTTTTCAACACTGACATTGGGTGCAGTCCAGCATCACAGGCGCAGTACTCATACATATGTTGTGTGGGAGACACATAGTGTAAGCACAGTTCCTTGCTATAATCATTAACAGAAAAAGTTATGAAAGAAGTAGGTGCGGAAATAAGAATGAAAGGCAAACTTCTATCTAAACAAATTTCAACAGAACAAGCGGAAACAAGAAACTACATTCACAAGAGTAGATAGAAGCCAGAGGTACGGAGAATGCGCCTAGAACAACAAAACCTCATAATCATCAACAGTGGGTTATGGTTAGAATGCAAGACAACACCAATGCTTCGCTCCACAACCAGTAGCAGCGACGGCAGCACAAGTTAGTTGAAGGTGAGAAACGCACTCCCATCCCTGTAATCCACGACGCGTTTCGTCATTTTTGGACGCATCAGGTAGAGATAACCTGAGTTGGGAGTGGAACTAGCGACTGCTTGGCGGCTATCGCCATGGTTCGGCAGTAGTCTATTGAGCTCCGCCATCAGCAATTGACACAGCGGTTAGAAGTTGAATGTCGGGTTTTGAAACACCTGCCGCGTTTCTTGGATTGTGATATGCAATCTCAAATGTGGCCACGGTTGACTTTGAAGACAGCCTTTGGCAATACGATCGCTGGGTAGGTCATCAAAGTGAAAGGTTTCGATGTTGCTCTCTTCCATCCATTTGTAAGAGAAGGGGTTTCGGGAAGTTCGAACCATCAATCTTTCCACAAATGCTGTACGCTTACGGGAGGCTCTAAGTAGAATACGCGATCTAAGCCTGGCGATCTTCACGCAAACGCGATGCTGATGCACTTGAAAGTCCACAGAGTAGGGCGACGAAAATCGTTAGGGCACTGTTTCACCTCTCCTACCAACGCAGACTGCAAGCCTTAGGCTCATACAGCGGTAAATACCGGCGCTTGCGAAGAGATCTTATCTTGGTGAACCAAATACTGACTAACCCCAAGCACGCCTGTCGCGATCTTTTTAAAGGCAGCCACAATAGCAATCGGAGAGGTCACCAGCTCAAACTGGCCACACACTACAGTAAACTTGATAGCCGACAAAAGCTTTTCTCTCTTCAGGTATCCAGAACGTGGGACGCTCCTGCTCCTCACGTTATTTTCGCCCATACATTAACCAGCTTTTAAAAAGATTGGAATTCACTTCGTCCCATTTACATTACGTGACAATAAACCATTTCCATCGGAAGTTGAATTAAAGCAACGTACCTACCAGCTCTTATCGCTGCGTAGCGGTGAGCAGACCAGCATGCATGTTTATGTGGATGACTCGGTGAGTCACATCAAACCAGAATTTGTCATTTTCTTGTTATTTTAAACCTTTATTTTATAATCCTCACTCCGGTCATCCTACAGAACATGTCAAGCAATCGCTTTTTTGTCCGTTACATATCACTGATCATTGCTCATCCCAACTGCTCGGTGCCATCCTCTTGCAGAGACTCAGTTGGGTACGGAAAGAGCATCTGCGTGAAGATTTAGCTAGGTTTCCCCCTGGACGTAGTTGCGTCGATCATATCTTTACGGTACGCCAGATATTGGAACACTTCCATACGTGCAGTCGACCAAGCAGAGTTGTGCCCCTGGACATTGCAGTCGCGTTTGACACTGTTTACAGAGTGGCTTTTTGGGATTGCTTACTGAAGAGGGGAGTGACTGAGTAGTACATCAGCGCTCTCTGGGCCATTTACGGTCAAATCTCGGGCCACATGCGACTATACAGAGACTTTTCGCCCCCTTCAGTATCACCAGTAGTGTTAGACTGGGTCGGTCAGCCTCACTCTTCTTGTTCAACTACGCCACGAATGAAATCCTGGAACTGCCCTGAAAAACACTGAGTTTTGCGGCGCCGAACTGCTCCAGAGTGACCTCCTTCAGCATTTGGAGCATGCAGATGACATCGCTGCGATTTAAGGGTCCTTTCAGGCCACGCACCATTTAGTGCTAAGGCTCGAGTTGGTCACTTCCCGATTCGGGTTTACTTTTGCTCCTTGCAAGTATAAGGTCCTGCTACAGAACTGGCCAAGTGCGTCTCCTTCCCTTACCCTTTCGTTACCCTTGCTTGAAGTGGTCGACAAATAAATTTCCTTGGCAGTTGTTCTAGTATTGGCGGTTTGCCGGATGAGATCTTGTGTTTCGCCAAGGCCAGAGTGGTTTTGCTAACCAGCACCTGTGAAATCATCGCGATCTCAGTCTTGCTCTGAATGGCCTAGTCTGCAATGCTACGGTACGAGGAGTTCTGACGTATGGCTGCGAGACTCGGTCTTTTCTCAAGAGTGATGTTTAGCAGCTATCTGTCTTCAACCACTCCTAACTGCTGAGTATTGCTGGTTTTCGGCCGTATTATCACATCAGTAATGAAGAGGCTCGCCGGCGATTCTTCAAAGATGACAAACTCCGCCGACCGATGGCCAGCACCATTTTACTGCAGACGCTCTGCTGGCTTGGGCACGTGTTTCTCATGCCCACCCACTCTTACCACAACGTGACTTTTTGCGAACGTAGCCGTGGATTTGAAGCGACGACAAGGGTGCCAGTGTAAAACCTAGATCCAATGCGTTAAGGCGAAAAGGCGGAAGCTAGTTGTTGCTCGGCATTACCGACTCACAGATTGGGGGCCCAAGGATCGCGAGCACATCTGGTTGCAAACGTTGCTCGATATGGCCAGGGACCAAACGCAATGGCGCGCTTGCTGTGAGACTCTTCTTCTCTAATTGTGGTTTTCCTTTCCAATCTACCGTTTTGTTTCGCTTAGGTGTTGTGGCACTCTGCCAATTATATATATATATATATATATATATATATATATATATATATATATATATATATCCATGAGGGAAAATGTTAATACAAATATATTCTCCGAACAAAGCAGGTTGTCTAAAAACTTTGTTGCTCATTGCATTGAGGATACGGTACCGATCCACAAGGTGGGATATTTTCACGCAAATAGGTGCCACTTCAACTAAAACTAATAACCTAGACTATCACAGGAGTGCATAAGCCTGACTTCAAAACAAGGACCAAACTGTTAGGTCTAAAGGTGCACGAATTGGAGGGGTGCACAAACTGTTGCATTAAGTTATGGTAGACCTTCGCTGTGTCCGTTGATTATTAGGCCTCTGGTATCATGCGCATGAGAATGTTATGGTTTGTATAAGTGGTTGGGTCTGCTCAGATTACGCGGAGCAGCTATCATGCGTCAGCTTAACATCGTCCTGGGTCAAGACAACTGCATAACCGGAACAAATTGCTTGTGAGAGTAAGGATATGGGTGAGGCGGCCAAATGCCGACTGTCTCGGTAGCCACTGGAAATGGTAGACGCAAGATTGTCAGCCGGTGTATAGATTTTGTACGCAGAAAAGCAAAAGCCACTATGACCAACACGATAAAAAGTGTCGAGAGAGTAAGCTGGGATGGCAGTAACACGGAAACCCTCAAAGTCATTACATGTTTTAAAATGTGCCTGGACAGATGCATATAATCTAATTTGAGCTGTGCCACAAACGCACTTAAGTTGGTAAGCTATCGCAGAGGAGGCTTGCAAAAGTAAAAAGCTCTCCCTCGAATGACTGGATTTAATGCGCATAAGCGGCTCTGTGTGTAACTAGGGATCGCTGCGTCTCCCAATAAAAACACGCTCAAAAATGAAACAACTTTAGTCTGATTCCAAGTTCTAGTTTCCATTATGCATATTTGAAACACTTAGAAACTAAATTTTTTCCGAAAATTCGCTGCTCTGTATAGATGCTAAATGAAAGGCCGAATTTCCTAAAATGCATTCTACAGTAACACCTTACAACTGGATTTTTCCACATCCATTCAATCCCTTCATCTTAGGTATCACCCCGTCTCCGGGTGCACAACATCGTGCCGCCTAGGGCGAGCGTTTTGCCCGCATATCAGGCATTTAGGTGCGGGAATAAGCTAGCCAATCACATCAGCAAACATTTTATAGCGCATGGTTACCAAATCAAGCTGTTTTGAACGTTGATGCAGAAACCACTGCCACTGATATTTGCCGCCTCACTGATACTACTTTATGGGACTCTAACAAGATGCTACAGCTGGAGTCACCGTCAGCGAGTTCCGTTGGCTTTTGTACATCTAGCCTTTCTGGAGATCCAAATGCCGAAGCCGCTGGTTATGTCGGCGTCGGGATTGCGTTGAACCCACATGCTGACGCTGCGCTACTGGACAGGGTCTCTGTTAACAACCGACTGCGTGCGGTCCTAATTGTAACCAAAATACGATCGTCCGGCCGCGGAGCTAGCAGATCTTCCTCCAGTGTAACTGCGTATGATCTCAGAGACGGTAGCCCTATTTCAATTAAAAATAAATTCTACTGTCAACTTCCTGACCTTCTCTGATAAAGCGCTGCGCAGACATCATGGTGCTTGCCGGAGACAGCATCGCGCAGGTTAACAGAGTTAAAGTTGGCAAACGTGAGATCGGTGGTCAAGGAGGCCATGGTATTCACGGGGCAGATAACGTAGACCACTTAGTTTAGCTCCGCGCCAACCATTGTCTATTTTCCTCAAGTACCAACTTTCGGAGACCCCGGCACAAACGCGTCACTTGGAGGCCCCCATGATGTGGCCAAGCGTGAAAGGATAGTGATCATATCCTCATCAGTTTCCGTTGGTGTGGCTATAAACATGACTGCAGAGAAACATAGAGTGCATATCGCGCTTCATGCGATCGGTTGCGCTAAGGCTGCTTTATATTTTGGCGGCACTCAACAGCATTGCCCAAAACCGCTTGACGCGGCCGTATATTTTGAGCGCCTTCCAAGATGCTTTGATCTCACGTCTCAGGATTGCATTGACGCGCACTAGGCGCAAATCCACAGCACACTGCGCAAATCTGCAACTTTGGTCTGTGGTTCAACTAGGTGTCCTGTCAAGCATTGGATCTCTGCACGATCTCTGCTGCTTAAAAAAGCCCGTAGAGAAATCACCGCTGGCGTTGAGCATCATTCACTAAGCAAGACTGCTAACACCGCGCTCAAGAAACTCCTCCGGGAGGGTCGCTAGGTCTGGTGGAAGTGGCTGGTCATTGAGATACAGCAAGTGGCTGCCTCGGAGAATTCCTGCAAGCTGCCTATCCTGTTCCGGTCCAGTAGTGGCAAAAGCCGACTAGAAGCAAAGAATTGTGCGAAATGAATAGTGAGCAAATTCTCTGTCAATAAAGTAGGTTTGTGTGTTGAGCTGAGCATTTCGAACAACAGTCTGTGGATGATTTATATGATTTATTAGTTAAACTGTGGGAGTAGGAAACTCTCTTAATCGACTGGAATCGCTCCGTAATTGCACGGAACTTCAAGGAGGCTAACGTCTGAAATGCGGCAATCGCAGAAGAAGCAGTATGATGATATCGTTCCTCATTTACGTATCTCTGTTGTTCACCACACACTGGCTGGCGCTCGTGAAGCCAGATTCGTGAAGAGCAAGTCGGGCTTCGTCGAAGTCAGGGCCGCATTGACCACATGATCGCTTTACCTCAGTTGCCAGAGTACTGCACTATACGTTGGCGACCCATCGCAGTAGTGTTGTTCGACATCAGAGGTGTCTTCAATTCGGTGGACTGCCGGATAAAGAAACGTGTGCCCAGGAAATAGGTCAATGGAATAAGGGCGTAATTCAGGTCAAAGGAAGACTACTAGTAGACTGTCCCCATTCTACAAGACTTTCAGCAGTGAGAGACTGGGATGCCCGCTATCACTCTTGCCATTTTAACTTCGCCCTTAACAACGTCATGGAAATTGCGTTCAATAGACACGAACATGAAGGTGTAGAGTCACTACAAGGCAATCGAAATCTCGGGATATTATCTCATTTGCGACAGCTCACCCGAAATGCACTGGACAGATAACAAGCACTAACTGTTAGCTGCTTTGAGCTGAACTTTGCAATATCCAAATGCGAAATTTTCCTCCAAGACTGATAAGAACCGCCCAGTGCGCTGATCGGCTAGAGGTTGTACAGAAATTTAACTACCTTGGCAACGCTTGCTGGAAAGAATGAGGCTCGAGGTGCCTTTGCGAATCTTTATCACTTTTAGCGCCGGTGCGATATTCCCCTAGACCTGCAGGCTACAATGTAGCCTTCCATTCAACCCCATGTTCGATTGGGAAACCTGGTATATCAGAATGAGATAAAGAGACTAGTTGCGTTCGACCACCGGTGTCTTCGCAATGTAGCTCACGTCTGATGGGAATAAAGGATGAGCAGCGAGCATGCGTGGTGTCTTGTTTATGGCACAGAGAGGTGCACCGCTCAGCGCCAGGTTCCGGTGGTTGGGCCACGTGTTACAGATGTCAGCAAACCGACAGAGGCGACGTGCGTTATTTAAGTAAGTGGATAGTACTGCAGAATAATAATAAATGTGTTTCTCACCTCTAGATAACGTGAAAAATGATGACAAGGACTTGTATTCAAGGTGTGATATTGTGAGGTCGCTTGCAACTGCGCAGATCCGAAGCAATGAACTCTGGACAACGGGCAGAACTACGAGACTATTCCATGACCTACAAATATACATATGGTGAACCCCGGAGTCAGCCATGGAAATGCGATATGAGATGAGTGAGCAGCCTCTGAACACTCGCATAATCGGAACAACACGCCCATGAAAAGAAAACTTGCTCCAGTGCCGAGACCTGATAACTGTTGCGGCATCCCCAGAATGCGCAACCGTGAAGGAATCGCTGCGTCTGCAATGAAGAGAATGGTGTGTTAATGTAGAGACGGCGAATTTGGCTAAAAGAGAAAACCCCGGGGCGATCGAGGCTAATAGGTACCAAAACGAAAGTGTTAAATGCCTTTCATAGTGTAGCACAACAGCATAGAATAGTAGATGAAGTTATTTATCGATAAAAGCGTTTACAAACGTTAAGTAAACGTATAAAGATGGCGAGAATGTCAGAACCGCACAGCAATTTAAGCTAAAATAACAGGTGGCCGTGCAAAGCCAGAAAGAGGACAGGACAGAACAAAATTCACCTTGGTGACACATTGACCTCCAGCAGCCAGGGTTTTAAATTTTCGTCTAACAAAACGTCAAATCCGAATAACTCATGAACGCAAGCACGTCTACGACAGTTTTGGTCCACCATTATGGCAATGGAGTTTGTCACAGAAGCAAGGGTTTTGAACACAATATCCCTCAACAGCAACCATAAACCATCGACATTTACACCGCGTTGCAGAAGGTAAGCCCAGAGGGATTCCAACTTCCTGGTGAAAAGGGGAAAATAACCTGAATTCCAGTACGAGGAATGTGATAATAGAAGAATGGTGTGATGACGTTGGTTATGATCAATTTAGGGTAAAGCATGACTACATTTGAAGCGAAGCATCTAATTGAGTGGTCATTTGAACAAATTCAAATGGAGAGCCAAGTAGCAAAAGGACAGCAACTACAAAGTGCTGTAAATTAATCGAGGATGTAATGGTTTCATCGCGACCATCTTACACACAACTACGCCGTCCACGTAGATGCAATTGGATGGACCTGTCACAATAAGAGCTCACAATACCGAATGGGTATAATTTCATTCACACATTTCATTTACACAAACAGTTTATCCGAGGACAGATGCAGCGGCGATAAGCTGCAGACCAGGTCATTGAATTGCATATATTTGGACTCCTTGGAGCAAGTCATATAGCATGGATTCATTGTGACCGTAACCGGATTCACGCGCTACTGATAGCCTCGAAGCGGAAAAGAACTACATTTTCTCAGTCTGCTTTTCGTCACAGCACATCTTCAAAACCCCATGAGTGCGCGGTCACAATCACTTATTAGGATGCTTCTGGTTCCACAAAAGAAGGTAGATGGAGATCCAGTCTTATGGTTTTGAAAGTGGCACTGTTCGGGTATGCCGTTTTGGATGCGTGTATCTGTGGTGTGACACAACGAGAGCACGAGTAATACGGAAAAAACGCAGGTGAAGCAGTGACTGGTGACGATACGCTATGAATGATGCACAACACAGAGAGAAGAAGAACAAGGAAGCTCAAGTTATCTATGTTAGCAACGGGATAGATGAAAATAATTTTCCTTGTTAAATCATAAGTAAAGTGTAATGTCTTCGACTCATCCAGTATGCAAATTTCATACCACTTAGTTCCACTTGGTGACTCATGTGGTACGAGGTAACATGGCGAAACCCAGCAAACCGATTTTCCAAGCGATCAAGTATGCTTGAATACAACCCAGGCATTGTCCGAACTAACTGTTTTCCATCGTGAGCCGATTGGATTGAATCATAAAGTGATTGCCGCTAGGAGCATAACTGCCATAGTCCACCCTCTCGGATTACCGGGTGATGACGTATTGTTGCTAATGCTAAACACACTATATGAAGAACAGTTAGCGGAATGTTTAAAAATAAGATAAACGGCTTAGGATGTTGTAGTTACCGCAACACACCCTCCATCAGGTAGGAGAGGGGTGGTACAGCGTGAAGGCTGAGTACACGAAATTTTAATGGTACACAAATAGAATGCGGCGACGGTGAATACGATAGGCTAAACATGCCCACAGCTCACCATTTATGATTCTCGAAGCCCGGTTGAGTTTGCTTAGTATGCTTGTTGATAGAATAATTGGTCAGATGAATGTACCGGTTGTGCATGTCTGCTACTGCAGATGAGTACCTGGGGAGGAAGTAAGAAAATGATAGGTGTACAGCGACGGATAGCGTGAGAATACAGAAGAGACGTCACACGTGTCTGTATTTAGTTTAGTAAGAAAAACGATCATTTTAATGTCACTGAAAGAGCAGATGTAGACGTGTTAAGCAGAATTTGGTTCCAAATAACAGCATTCATTGAAAAGGGGTTGAAAATGTGAAGTTGGACACCCTAAGTCGGAGTACTTGGTGAATAATAGAAAGAAAAAAATACAAAGGCCAAACACAGATTGAATTATCCATGAAATGACTTGTGACCAGATAGTAGTGCTTGCTAGCATAGGAAGGGTAGTCTGACAAGATTCTATGCCAAATTGTATTAGTCCGAAATGGGACAAGTGCGATTCTGTATGAACGCTATATGATTAGTGGTGATGGAGCAGAATTGCTGCACATATATAGGCTGCTTCAACACCACAGTCACTGTAGGTAACCAGTTTGAATTGGAAACCCGGCACTAGAAAATGCTTGCCGATGTGATTGGGCTGCATACCCTCGGACCCAAACTCCTACTGTGCAGGGCGAAAACTCTCACCCGAGGCGGCATGATACTGTGCACTCGGAAACGGATGTGAATTACAGAACTTCAGCTCTCTCGACGTGATGACACAATGTAACCAGACGGACAAGTAGGCGCGAACAAAAGCGGAGCCTACTTGCTGACAAGGAAGCCAAGTGGACTAGTAGGACCAAAGAAATAGAGGACGCGGGAGCGGTAAGTAACTATAGCAAGCCCCTCCAACTCATCCACACCACGAGTCTCAAGAAACCAGACATCGGTGAGAAAGCATAGACAGCGCGAGTGCCATGATTCACAATAAGGAACGCCGTGTGGCATGTTAAACGGAGCACTTAAGTTAAATTGGCCCCCAGCTTCCGGATCTTTTCCTATTCAGGCGGTTCAGGCTGAGCTATAGCCGCTTAGTTTAGTGGATCCACCAGAGGCTGAGGTCCGAAATGCGATCACAGGCTTTAATCATTTTAGAGCTGCTAGAGCGGATTCCCTCACACCCGCACTATTTAAGGATACTGGTGAGGTTCTCTGTAAAGCGATGACCACTCTGTTCGAACAGGATTGAAAGTAAGAGAACATTCCAGCTAACTGTAGTGAATCGACTATAGGGAGAATCAACAGGAAGGTCAGTCGCACCAACTGTGTAACAACAGAGGTATTAGCCTAACGCCAACTGTGACAAAAGTAATGGCCTCAGTTCTCGTTCGTCACCACGTTGCGAAACAGGAACGCAGAATTAGGGAACAGCAAGGAGATTTCCGCCCATGACAGGGCTCTACGGAAAGTGCCGAAGAAGCGTACCTTATACCGCAGACCGACAATAGCTCAGTTTTTCGACTTAAATTGTGCGGCTGGCTCTGTCGATCGATCCATTCTGCTCAATATACTTGCACGGAAAAGCTGGCCTGCCGAACAACCTCCTCGTGGGGCCAGCTAGGTGGTCCGGGATTATCTTGGTCCAGTGAATGGTTAGGCGGCAGTGTTCCAGGACGTGGTGGGTTTTCGCCTGGCAAGTGTTCTCCCTATAAAAAGCCACATGTGTCCGTTTAACAACACTGCGAAGAGCGGATGTTACTCGCCACTAAATAAAGTCACTGCACCTTGTTTCACTTTGGTGAAGCACTGTATCACAGCACCTTGCTGCTGAAATCATGGGAAAGAGTGGGCCCCTGTTTGGCTAATCACCAAACGAAAGGCATATGAACTGAGCAATCCGTCATCGGCTCCCAATGGGTGCGAATCCCTGACTTCGCTCCGCTGTCTTGCCGGTGGGCTATTAAGCCAAAGGCTCGGAGTGGTGTCTTCTAAGACAACTCCCCACTTCGGCTTGGGCAACCGCGTAGTATCGCGCCCTCTGTGAAAACCATGGATTTCGTAATTGCTATTAGGTCGCGTGCTTCTGCTGCTACTTTCGCTGCTACACGTGCTTCTTCATCACACGCCAATTTTTTCTATTGATGATAAGCTACAACCTGTTGAATCTACTTCCAATTCCGTCTCGCCAGCATCCAAATCATCCGGCCATCAGCTATCCTTCAACCACGTAATTCATTCTGTCTGCCAGCGTTCAATGTTCGGACCCTATTACAGATTGGACAACAAGCTGGCCTGGCGCACACTCTAGAGTCCCTTGATATCGATGTTGGTTGCCTTACAGAGACTCGGCTACAGGATCCCAACACCGTGGTTAAATTGCCGTCCCCAGCTGCTCTTGAGACCACATATTACATACGTCTGTCTAGTGACATGGAGGCAGCAGTAATCGGCTTAGCTGGTGTCGGTATCGCATCGAGTGACAAAGCGAAGGTTGCATTATTCGACTGGTTTCCAATCGACAGCCGGCTGTGTGCGGTTCGGCTTCAAGGCTCATGTAGAATCAACAGACATCGTGAAGAGAGACGCAGTTTGCTTTTCGTTTCTGCCTACGCTCCGACCGACTGCAGCTGCGCATCGGTTAAGGATGACTTTTATCGTGGTCTCCGCAACCTTTTGAACAAGGTCAAAAAGTCAGATGCCATCGTCCTTACCAGAGATCTCAATGCACGAGTAGGTCGCCTGCATCGTGTGAACGTCATCTTGGTGACAGTCATGCGCTTGATGAAAGCCGTCCTGACAACGGTGATAGACTTCTTACGTTATGGGAAGACCATCGTCTGTTTCTCGCAAGTACGAACTTTAGGCATACCAGAAGACGTGCAACCACCTGGCGTCCTCCTTCATCAACGCTAGCGTGATCACAAATAGATCACATTGCAATCAGCTTTAGATGGCGAGACAGCGTCCGAGGTTGTAGATGGATTTGGTCTAGGTACCTTGATTCAAATCATGCTTTGGTCTGCGAGGACATCGACATGCGCTTCGGCGGCTCTTCAAAACGAAAACTCCATACGCTCGACACCAACAAATTAGCCGACCTCTCTGATGATATTGCCTTGCTTGGTGATGACGCACAGAACACACAAGCCGTTCTAAACCTCTTGGCGATTGAAGCAAGAAAATATGTAATGATCTCTGCCCCTAAGAGATGCAAAGTCCAGGTCCTGGATTGGTATCCACCTGCTCCAGTGCTCCCTTTTCAAGGTACACAGCTTGAACAAGTGAACAACTTTGTTTACCTCATAAGCTGTCTCTGCTGATGGTAGCATTGGAAAAGAGATTTCCCTCCGCATTGCCAAAGCCCGTCGTCATTCGTCAACTTGAGGCATCTGTGGCGACGCCGCTACGTTTCACAATTGGTAAAGGGCAGGGTCTACAATGCCTGTGTTTGCGCGGTGCTGCTGTATGGGAGTGAGTCCTAGCCGATTCGTATGAATGAGTTGCGTCGGATTTCGGCCTTTGACAATGGATGCCTGCGCAGAATAGCTCGAGTGTGGTGGATGTACCACGTACGCAACGATGATGTTAAGCGTCGCACCTTGGGTAACACGGGACTACCACTTGCCAGACTGGTACCACTACGCCAACTGAGGTGGCTGGGTCACGTTTTACGCATGCTATGCGAACGGCTGACCCGACGCGCTCACTTCGCTCGCATTGGACCAGACCGGAAAAAATCGCACGGGGGTCAGTCTATGCCGTAGCAACAAACGATTACAGCGCTGAGTTCCAGTTTGGCTGTCGTAGGTCCTGTGCGTCTTCCGGGCTGGGGGATCAAAGATGAAGAACGCCGCTGGCTGGAAACACTTCTGGAGATGGCGCAGAACCGGGCTCAATGGAAAATATGTACAAATTTTTGTCCTGATTTGCTTGATTTACATTGCAAACATTAAACAGACAAAAAAGATACAACGGCGTGTAAAAAAGCAAAAAAAGAAAAGAGGATACAAAAAACCTTTTGCAACTTTCACTCTTTTCGTTGTGGTCTCTGTATTTATTACTGCCGTTTCATGGTTTTCGCTGGCTCTATGTCTACCTTATAGAGTGCTGATAATAATACTAATAACAATAATAATAATGATAAGGAAAAGTGTTCCCATGCATGATGTGAACATTTTACATGCTTATGGCGGAATACCACAGGCGGCGTCAAGGTCAATGGTGAGCTGTCGGATGTCTAGTGACGTTCGTCAGGGTTGCACAACTTCCCCATTTCTGGTCAACTTCGCCGTGGACTCACTCACGGAGTGTTCCCTTGCAGAATCTCTCGATGCAGGCATTGAGATGTTGCCTGGTGATAAACTGGCTGATCACGATTATAAGGACGATATTATGTTGCTTTTTAACGACGTTGGGGTGGCCCAGTCGATTCTGAATAACTCTAGTGTGGTCCGATCATGTGGCATGCGCTTTGCACCTTCAAAGTGCAAAGTGCTGTTGCTGGACCCCCAGCTACTTGAGGACTCCTGTGACTATTGATAGCGACCAACTCGGGGTAGCTGACACGTTCATTTATTTTGGCAGCTGTATCAGCAACAGTGAGCGCATAACCACTGCAGTCAGTTCACGTATTGCAAAAGATAGAATTGCCTTCCTGAATCTGCGACACCTTTGGTGTCAGAAAGAGGTTTCCTTCGGTCCGAGAGGCCGAGTTTACAAGGCCACAGTGCGTGCCGTGTTACTTTATGGCAGTGAGGCTTGGTGCATTAAACCTGAGGACCTGAGGCGCCTTCAAGTCCTTGAGCATCACTGCCTGCGAAGCCCTATTAGTATCGGATGGAACCAGCCTGTCCGCAACGACAATGTGCGTAGGTTAGTGTTAGGCATTGATAATCAGACTAGTTCCTTAGAATAACAACAACACTGAATAAGTTACGTTAGCCTTGGCACGTATTACGTATATCCGGCCACCGTTTAAAGAGGAGGTCCTTGTTTCGATTGTCAGGTGAACGGTGGCGCAAGGCTCGAAGTTGGAAAAAGTTAACTTGGTAGCAGGAAATGAAGTCACCGACTTCAAAACTGGATGATGTTGGTCCGTTTCGCCTTCTAGGCTGGAATCCACGTCACACCTTTGAGCTTGGCTTGAGATGTTAGAGGACGTGGCTCGCAGTCGACACCAGTGACGTGTTTACTGTCGTCGCTTAGCCGCACTGCCTGGTTATTGTGCATGGTGCTAAGTCATCTGAGGGGTAATGCCTGATTAAGACGTGGAACGGTGGAAGCTACAAGGGAGCTATCGCACAGACACCGCCTTATCTTTGAGCGACAGCCAGTTGTACGTAAAGATATGTTGTTGACAAGGTGGAGGCGCATTGACTCCGAATGTTTGCTTATGGCACTAAGGTTTCCAGATAAGTCCCTCTTTTCTCCCTCTTACTATTCTTTATTCTAAAAGTCATCATAGTTGTATGGCAGCGAGACATCAGTTCAAACAGCTGATGTACTTCTGTTGTTGATTGTGCAACCATTGGCGCATTCGTGTCGAAGAATAATGCAGCATACGCTACACCTATGGCTGACCCTGCCGACTTAGACGGCGATTGACTAGGCAGTTCCGTCGCATCAAGAATGCATGGGGGACGGCGAAGGCGAAGCAGATAAAATCTTACGCTGAACGCCACCAACATAAGGAATTCCTTGACTACATGAAGGCGGTGTATTGACCCAAGTTGCAACTGCCGAGGACACTGCTCGATGCTATTTCACGCGGTGCCTACACATAGACTGCAAAAATAATGCAGATTTGGAGAGAAGACTTTGTCTCTTGAAAAACCGGTCAGAGATTATCTGATCTACGTTGCACAAGCTGCAACAGCAAGAGATGAAGATATGCACTGCCGAACAACGACACCAGATCAGACGCAGTGAGCCCTTGCTCATCTGTGAAACGGCAAACGTGCCAGGGCCGACGGGATCCTGCCTGAAGTATTGAAACACGGCGGACCCGCTTTTATGCATGCGCCGCACCAATTGGAGCAACATGTGTGCATTTAAGAAGAAGTGCAGGCTGACTTGAACGATGCCCTTGTGCTACCAATGTACAAAAGGAAAGGGATCAGGCAATGTGCCAAGAATTATCGTGACATTAGCTTGCTTAGTTGTGTGTGGAAAGTGATGGCGCGAATCCTGCTCAACTGCCTCGTCACCGAAGTCGTTGAACCGAACGTGGCGGAAGAGCAATGCGGATTCCCTTCGGGCTGAAGCACCAGAGACATGGTGTCCGCGGCTCGTCAGTGGCAGGAGAAATGTAAATAACAACACCAGCCTTTGTACTCACATTGTGCTGATTTCACCAAGGCATTTGATACCATAAACCGCGACACCCTCTGGCTGGTGTTGGGTAAATTTGGTTGTTCTAGTAATTGTAACTTTGAGTAAATGTCTGCACAGTGGTATGCGGGCGAGTGAGCAGCTCTGTGGACAATCTTCGAATAACTTTGCTGCTGTCTTTGATGTGAAGCAAGGTTGTAGCTTAGCCCCTGCCCGATTTAATACTTACCTTTATTCAATGATGTCTTGTGCTTTTGATTCTGTTTGTGATTACGGTGTCCGTGTGGAGCACCATATGAATAGTGGATTGCTGAATATCCGTCGTTTCCAGGCGAGAACACTAGTGTGTGTGACAACCATCCGTTTGTTGCTGTTTTATGACGCCTGTGCGTTGTGCGCATACAGCGCGGATGAGTTGCAGCACATGACTGCGGTTCTCGCTTCCTTGGCCGCCAAGTTCGGGCTCACCATTAACAAAAGCAAAAATGTTTGTCCTTATCAGCTTTTTCTAGAAGTAGAATCCGTGGGTCTGCCGCAAATCCACATTGGCGCTGACGTTTTGGAAACCACCTTGGGAGCGTGCTGTCCACCGACCTCCAGTTGATGAGCGAGCTGTGCATTTGCGTATCGAAGGTGGATGCTGCGTTTGGCAAACTGGAGAAATGTGTGTGGAACAACCAAGAGCTTACCATTGGAACGACTGCTGGTATACAAGTCGATGGTGCTGTCCGTTCTATACGGCAGAGAAACCTGATCGATGTACCGGAAACATGTCAGATATCTGTAGCGGTTTCGTCAACAGTGTCTGCGACGGATTTTGTGCATCGGTTGGTGCGGCAGTGTTGTAGACACGGAAGTGCTGTGCCGCATTAACGTGTATACTGTGAACTGCATACTTCTGCTTAGGCACATGAGGTCGATTTGGCATGTTCGCCACATGGATTCAATGCGGAAACCGAAACAGCTACTTTATGGTCAACTGTGTGCAGGGAAGTGGCACGTGAATAAACCGGAGTTACAATAGCAGGAGGTGATCAAGGTGAGTTCATCCCGAAATTACTTTGGTTTCAGGTGCCCAGAGCCAAAGGCAGTTGATCGGCGCAGATATCAACAGCATATCAGGATAAGGCACTATCGCACGCGGAAGAGAAACGCTGGGTACCGAAAAGATAGGCGCCGATAGATTCTAGGCCTCAGACGTCGAACGCGTGGTGCGGTGGCACATGTGTTCGTGAGTGCTTGAGGATGGCGGAAATGGTAAGAAATCAGCGTGACCACGTCGTCCCAGCACGCAAAAGACGAGGAGCCAATTGGTTAGCTAAACATAATCAGCGCAGCAGTGCGCTGCGTCCGCTTCAAATGGATTTACTAACCCAGGCCAATAAAGTGGCTGATGTGGTAGCCTGCGTCATTGTCGCGGCATTTGTTGTGTACATGCACCTCGTGCAGAGTTTCTTGCATTCCAGGCCTTGGTTATTGATTGATATCAAGGTGTGGCTGCACTTGATGTAAATGTTGACAAGGTGCCTACCTACCGCACCCCGTCTATATTGATACTAGGAGACAGCTGATCGCTGTTGGAGGAGACGTGATGAACGGTGTTTCCGGCCGTGCCAGGCTCAAAGAGTGGTTCCATGCATTCAGTGTGGAGCGGACTACGGTCCAGCCACAATCTTGCGTGCCTCTAGTACGCACGATTTCCCAAGCATGCATAAATACTTCCGCTCTGCCCGTTGAAGGAGTGTAGGCCGGCTTCGCTGATGAAACGTGTATCCCATCCACATGCCTCCCGGTCTTATTACTTCGGGTTTACATCGGATATGGGGCGTGCGGGTGGAACTACGGGTGGTGCAGCGCAAGCCACCCATGGTCCCTCTGTAGGCGCAGTCGTTCTGTGGCTCTCCCAATGGAGGCCACAGTGACAGGCAAATCCGGATACGGTTGCCGCCAATCAATCAATCAACCAATCAATCAATATATATATATATATATGCTGCATTTATCTGAAGTTTGGTTTTCATCCGAGAAACTGTTTGTCCCTTAAGGACTTAGTTCTTCTATAGTGAGTGAAATATCCCAAAGCGGCTTTAAGGTACAAATCGGGATAGCACAATGGAGCGGATAGGTATGCCAGCCGTACCACCAATGCATTGATCATTGAGATTGCTCAAATCAACGACAAGATACTATGTAAGGAACAACGCCGTTGGTCATGAAACAAACTCCTCAACAAAAAGTGGATCCAGAATATCGTTGATTTTTTGCATTGCTCAATAAATCAATTATCTGAGTTATGCCCTTTTGGATCCCAATCTTATGAACAGAAACGCACTCATCCTAAACTCGAGCGCACAGGTCGTATTAGTTATGTCACCAGACAGTGTGTGCTCCGCGCATGAAGTTGACACAGACTAATGATCGAGAATTGCAAATACCTCAGAGATACTTCGTCGCAGTCCTAACTCAGACAGCAGGCGTTGACTCTTCTGGAAAAGTACCAGACAGCGCTGTTTCGGCCCTCTGGGTCTCGGCAGTGGTGCGTCTCCCTCGGACTTCTGCTGGATTCCGACCCCGTGACTTCTGAATGCCAGAAGGTAGTGCCACTTAGCAGTAGGTGACGGTTGCGGATCTTCATGACTGACAGTTGAATACCATGTAGGCAGCGCTGTCTGATGCCTTCCTGACGTGTCAAAGTCTTCTGATTGAGAGAACTGCGACAAAATACCTCTTAAATTATATCAAAATCCCCACTACTCATTAGTAATATGAAAGCCGCCTGTATAGCTCCTAAGTGCGACGTCGTACACAGTCGCCATGCGGAAAGGCCCAGCTCCGTGAGGCCAACCACTGTCTTCTGCACAGTTCGTAACTGACATGGCAGTGGGGGGTGAGCCGGGCTATATCCTAGTCAATTGTAAGTCATGCAGGCCCTTAGCCGTCACCAATGGCTGAGTGGCACTACCTGCCGGTATCCGGAAGCCATGGAGTCGGAATCCAGTAGAAACCCGAGTGAGATGCACCACTGACGATACCCAGAGGGTCGAAACAGCACTGTCTGGTGCTTTTCTGGAAGAGTCAACGCCTGCTGTCATAGATAGAACTGCGACGAAATACCACTGAAAGTACAACCAAATCCCAACTACTCAAGAGTAATCCCAAACATATCGCTTATTTAGTTAACACAGTGAAGTACCTTTTTTGTACAGTGGACTAAATTGACCGAGAAGTGAGGTGGGTCTGAACTCACCTTTGAGATGCGAAGCGAACAAGACCGTTTCGATGTAGATAGGCTCGAAGTGGATTGAAGGACGTAACGTAGACGTAGAGACGTAAGTCAAACTTAGTGTCGTTTATTAAGTACGGTCTGGATATGTATGACTGCACAATCATTTGGCGCTGTTTAGGAATCTCGGACCAGTGACGGATGACTCGAACTCCAATCCCTCTGGCAGCAGCGGGCTATGACAAAAAAGAAAGCAAATTATAGAATTATACAAGGGGAGGAAAACAGACTGCTGGGATGTAAGTGAAAGTATCGAATACATTATTGTAAAATTCGCGGCTCCGAGTTCTCAGTTTATTAACTAATGAAATTCGAAATGACGTGGTAGCATGGAAAAATCCAGAAAACGGAAAAATGCTTTTTCAGGACAGCGCTACGAAGCAGAGAATGAGCAGTCGGGCGATCGCGCGGTATGCACACGCTGCAAACAGCAGCTGTGACAAGCGAAAAGCCGCCGGTTTGACCAATTAAGCGTACATGTTCGTAATGTAAGCCGAAGCACAAACCGCCTCTTACACTAGACACCAGCTGGAAACCGAGCCAGAAAGTAGGTAGTAACTCACTTGTGACGAGCTGTGTAAACGGAGTTAAATAGCAATGTCATAGAAAATGTGATGTCCAGACCTCTCAGTAGTAGGAGGAGCACCTCCTAAGGAAGGGAGCAGTGAACCCTACACGGATCAAACGGAGACCATTTTCCATAAATCAAGTAGAATAAGCGCACTGGTTGATCAAAAGAATGTTATCGGATAATCTAAAATATTACTGATAGGTAAATAATATAAGCGGATAGAGAAGGTTCGAGGTCATTAAAACACATAAATTGTGGTAGTCTGCGCCATGTAATTGTCTCGTGTGTGGCAGCCATCAGACTGGCACCTTACCTTCTTGATCAGCCAATCTGATCGGGCAGGTTTTCGAACAGCGAATCAGAGCGGCCCGACTCCTGATGAACATAACACTCAGGCTTCATGTTGACAAACGACAAATTTAGAAGGGGGAGTAACAACTGCCCGGCAGTCATGAGCCTAAACTTTTGACTGTGTAGCGCGGTAGCCTCTACGAATTTAAAAAGTTCCTCACCGAAAGAAGAATAGGTGCAATCCTTACAGACGGTGACGGAAAGTAAAAGGCTAAGGACGCATGACAAAGCATGCACAGGAATAGTCAACGCGTAATAGCCAAGAGCTCCTCTTGCGTAGGCGCATAAATGACTCGTAGCACAAGCTACTGACGCAGGTTCACAATCAACACAGATGATTGCATATTGCCACTCTTACTTCATACTGATACACTGCCTGCGAGGTAGTTACTCCGGAGGCCACATAATGGCCGACTGGACGTGATTGGTCATATTATGGGTTCCAACATTCAAGCCGACAAAAGTTCATACAATTCATAAAATAATACTTTCCGGATTACACATATCAGCCGAGTAGTGAGGGTGAACTAGGCGAAGTTCGAGAACGTTGAAATGAGGAAAGATGTGGTCCTTCGTTTATCAAATCTAGAACAACAGAGATCTGACAAGCGAATTAGTGTTCCGGCGGACGTCGCATGCTTAAGCTATGCACCCTTAAAGCATACAGTACGATAAAGGATTGAAGCGACAAGCCAAAACTAGATCGTGAGTGAGAGCGACACCAAAAGCCCAGCGTAAGTTCACTCGAATCAGACTGATTGTTGGCTACGTGAGCATAACAGGACGTCTTAAACTTAGGACAGCCAAACGTTCATTGGATGGTGAACCGATGGGTTAGTATAAAAAGCGGTAGATTGATGGATTGGACCAAATAACAGACTGGTATGAGAAGCCACGATGAAGTGTTCAAATGAGAAAACCGCTAGAGCAGATGTATTAAGATAAGCTCCATTAATAATGCCGTCAATGACCCCACGGAGTTTGGATCACAGTCACCATCCACATCAACCTCGATAGCGGTAGCAGCATCATCATCATTACATGTTAGTTAAAAGTAAGAAACAGCTCAGCTATTGTGTAGCAGTGCCCACCATATGAACTAGCAATGGCAATCCCACATTTGTACTAAACACACAGTCCCGTAGAGAATGGAGAATTTAGAACTTGGGCTGCAACTGGCCAACCTATCACAGCTTCATGACACTTAATCAGGCGTTCCACCAGAGCATCAAAATCAGTCATATTCAGTTGTAAATCTATCAATCTTAACTCACAGGCTTTATAATCCAGCAGGGACGCGTAGGTGATCCAATCACACAAGACAGTGAGTCACGCACAGGAGGGCTTTGACGGCCCCAAACTTCCTTTAGTAAGCGGAAGTCACTTGGAAGAGAAAAAGTTCTGGGCACAAAATCCACTTCCCTGCGACCGAAAAGCGTCCTTAGGCGAGACAAATTATTCCACAGTTTGTCTTTGCGTCCCAGAAGGAAAGAACCAGGAAAGTGGTTGACTTTTTGGTACTCTTTAATAGGACGAAAACCCATTGGTTTCAAGTGGTTACCGAAATATCCTAACCAGTCAGGACTTCCTGTGCGAGGAGAAAAGACAGAGCATATCATACAATGGCTGCATGTCATGAAAAATGACAAATTGCGTCGCAAACTCACAGTGATTCACCTGACCATTTAAAGAAATAAGCCGCCTGACCTGATAGAAATCCAGTGGAAACACATTTCTACACCTTCCAGTGGATTCGGCTTGTCGTATTTAGGGACTGTGTACCGTTACATTTCGAGGTAGTAGGGGAGCAAAGTGAAATTATGCAATCAAGACCTGACATGGAGGTGGAGTGAGGGTGAGTTTCAAACACGTAAATAGAAAACAAATGGAAGATAACGGCACTTTAGCTATGGACTTGTATTAACGGGGACATGATGGTCAGACAAGAATATCTCAGTTCAGTTCAGTTATTTGACCATTATCCGAACACCGAAGTGCAATGAATCCAGTTGCCACGGTAACGAGAATGAACAGGAAGAGAAGCAATTGTGGGTTCGTTTCGAAGCGCTTGTGTGAAAGGATGTACATGCGGGCTAGAGAGACTGAGCAAATCAGAAAGGACTGAAAAATTGCAATATGAGGCTATGGAGCTGATGGAAAGAAGGGATAAAATTCGGAAATACCGGTAACTTGTCACGTCACATGAGTTTCAACCATCCGTAGGTCCAATTCAGTAGCCAAAATGCAACAATACGACAAGCATAAACGCAAACATCGTTGGGTTAGCGGTGCACCCACGGAAACAGATGTGACATCTGATGACTTCGCTGTACCCGGTCCACTTGCTCCCCAGAGACTACGGTTACGCATATCTTGTGCCCGGAGATGAAAATTTGCTGATCTAGGCGGAAGGGGGCAATTAGCTAACACAATTACTCCAAATATTCAACATACTGGCAAATTCCTCGACCATATTTATATGACACTGACAGTATAGCTTTTAGCTGAGCCGAGCAATTTGAGCCCGTGATGGAGCAACCAATGTGTGGAACCCGAGAGTTCGAAAATATGGGTCCTCCATAGCTCCATGGCAAATGAGCAATAAAAATGTGCAGGTAAAGGTGACTTACTTAAAGTGAGTCGGAAATGTGACCGCTTCAGTGTTCTTTTGACCACATTTGGGGTTATCGCACTCAGGCGCCACTTGAGCCGAGTTCGGAGCAGTTTTGGAAGTTTAAACACTGTAAGGATGATAAGAGCGAATGCGTTTGGTAAACTCTCATTAGTTGAGGAGCAATGAGGCCGAAAACATACAAGGGAACAAAGACGAAAGGCGGAGTAAATGCGAGGAGAGTGAACTTTCTCTATAACAGAGAGTAGTTGGGAGGTAGATTGGGGAAACTCGAATGGTGTGCTCTTCACCAAGAGGTGGAAAGAATAGACATGCTTTCAATCTAGTCCGCGTTACACAAGTGGCGTTTGTGGTATCTGTGCACTGAATCCCAAATGGGTTGCATGCATCGGTGGAGGAACCACAGCGGATGAACGCGTCGATTGCGGTAATGTGCCGGACTGATGTGCATGCGGTGCGCAACACCTTCCTTCGTTCAACAGCGAGGAGACATAAATTGGTCTCTATTGAAACCCACATGATGACTGAGGGGCAGACGAACAAAGCACAAATCATGACGGTCCGAAGCTGTCCCCTGGGGCCCAATGGCATACACTGCTGGCTGGCGGTGCAAATCGCCGGTGGTCATGGGTACGAATCCTGGTGGATTCGAGAGATACGCATTAGTGACGATGTCCAACAGGCTGAAATGGCAGCCTAGTGTTTTCCCGGGCATGTGAACGACTATCTGATGTGCAAGCTAGTGCGATGAACTTTCAACCAATTTTCTCAGAAGTGTCGGAAATGTAGTGGGCGTACAGCGACAGCAATAGGTGATAGTGCTTGATTCCGGAGTTGTTTGGAGGTGAGCAGTAAGATAAAGCGTGCAGTTACGGAAGAGACCATAAGCCGGAGAGGTGGAGGGCAATGATGTGAAAAAAGGGAGCACACGCTGTGCGATGAAGATAGGGGGTTAAAGACAGCGAATCGCGTTCGCGACGGCATGCAGTCTCCACGACGGTACCAACCAAAGACAGAAAGACCAGCACATCAGATCTATAGCCTAGGTGACATTAGCGCCGGCATGGTCAGTAGGTAAAAATTGTGGCAGTCGAAGACACCGAGAATACAGCGATGGTGCAATTCACGTTATGCAAGTGTGTTAAGACAAGGAAGTTACGTCGATTCAGCGAAGACTGGCCTTATGGGCAGGAATTTAATACCAAATGAAATGGTCAGATAACACACAGTATGTACTGTTATTTGAATGGTCGTTTCTTTGTCCGGTAATGCCGTTAACCAAAAGAGTGATAAAATCATGCAAATTAATTGCAGAGAAATCAGCGTGTCGCGTAAGTACACATTTCTGTTTCAGCCATAATGGGACCGGCGAAACAATGGAAAAGGGAAGTCGGATTTTCGAGGCGAAGCTGTTGTTGTTCACTGCAAAATCAAAGTGTATGTCTCCTCATAAGTCAGCGTTTGCTACTGAAAATCTCCTAGCCATAAGTGGACCAAGGATTCATGCAAGTCTCGAGTCTTGGCCCAGTCGATCGACTCGGAAGGTGGGCCATCAAACGAGGATGACATTTTCGAAACGGTACTCTCTCTCAATGAGCCGGAGTATAGCGACTGACTGTACCGATAAGTGAGGCGCTACTTTGAAGAAAGAAGTGTTTGCAAACAAGATAATGACACAGGCTGATAATTCCTAAACCCATTGTAAGAGAAATTGATCAATTTCATTATGAGGTCGCGCGAAGCAATGCTGAAATTAAACCGTTCGTAGTAGATAGCATTCCAAGTCATCTTTTCGCTATGTGACCAGTTACTGACTAAGAGACGATGTCAATCGTAGTTCCCGACTCGTGAACTAACAGATATGCAAACCGATGGATGCAAGCGACATGCACGAAGATGCTGAGTGCACACACAAGTAAAGGACAACTGGTTCAGTAGAGTTCCTAATGCTAAGTGATAGCTAGTTTGCGCGTAACATACCAGTTTGACCTTCACCGACAAAGCGAAGAACTGAAGGAACATTTGGAAACAAAGACCCGATGACTGGGTACACAGCGTTCAACACTTCCACTTGACGGCCTGTGTAGGTTGACTCTGAGTCTGAGGCCTCCAACTGAGTCAATAAAAAAGAAGAAAACGATACCAATTAACAGTTTTGAAAAAATATAGCGTTCATAAGTAGACAGCACAGGGTTTACTAAAGAGAGGAATAACGTATAAGAATCGATATCATCTATCAAGTGTAAGGAAACGTTATATCGATAAGTGCTTCACATTGGCTGAAGGAGCTGAAAACTATGGTACTGCTGTTCGTTTGCATGGTTGGCGACAATCAAGGTCTTAGTTGCATTGTGCCTTAACTGAAGGGAAGTCGCAACCGCAGAATGAACCAAAAGTGGACTGCTTTGCAACATGCATGGTCACAGTCTATTTTTCGGCACAACATCTAAAGGAATGTGTAAAGAGACGACACTAGTACGTATGATCACTCAACGGCAGAATCCGAACGGCAGAAGTCCAAGGTCCGTAGGGTGGTCGCGGAAGCAATGTGAGCGACCACGGTATAAAGACATATATTGCTATCGTGCTGAATCGGCGTCAATCAGAGGCGCATAGGTACCGAATGATGACCAGAAGAAAGCGCAAACGATGATTGTGGGCATCAAAAAGCGCACGGACATAAAAGCTGACACGAAAATTGCGCACACGGGAGATTGCGGACAAGGAAGATTACGAACACGAGAGATTGTGCACACTAAAAGTGAGCACATTTTCGCAAGCTGTTAAAATGGTCACATATGACCGTATTATTGATGTACTTTACTTAGTACTCACATTAGGAATTCACGTCGCAGAAAACGATCTAATGGACATGGACAATAAGACTTATCTTCGGTATCGGAATGTACGTCACACCACAGAAGCTCATACAACGTTGCATCCGGGGGGAGGGATTATTGGACACATTTCCAACGCTTGGCACAAGCTTATGATCGAGCTGCATTTTTCAACTTCACAAATGCCTGCTTAGCAATTTAACACTTCCAACCATCACGTTATAACCCACCTTACCCCGTAACACAAACATGTTACCAATGACTTTAAGAATACAGGCAAACGCTAACTCATATTGACGGTGTAAAAGTTATTAACAAGATTCCACAAATTGGTACACCTCGCAATAATAGTACAGCCGCACGAATGGATACTTATGACTACGCAAGCATGTCTAAACGAGCGTGAATCATGACTGACAGCGTCCGTTCTCGGTTCTGATTGTTACTGTATCCCGCACGTGGACAACCACAAGACGTCTGAGCTTAGTGAGGGATGGACTATGATCGTTGCACTGTTACCTATGGAGTACTCCAGAAATCAGAAGGGCAACCTAGTTTCGACATAGTCGGGGTTTGAATACCTTGCTTTCCACATTATCGAAGGAGTGGTAACTTGGAGATGAAAGCAAAACCGAGGTGTAAAGTGTCATCCACTGATGAAGACACGAGACGGCATCACCTTGCAACAGCCGACTGCGCACTGTCATAACTCATGTCCTCAAAAATCGAAAGCCAAATGAAACTGGACATGAGGGCAGTCAGTGCTACACCTCTCCACGTTATGGGAAATGTGTTGTCTGCACTGAGTAGTGATGCTCGGGCCCACCTTCCCAAACAATCATCCATTGCAAGAACTCTTCTGAGGCACCGAAAAAGGGGTCATGTGCCTTGTCCAACAGGCACAAATTTTGTTATTCCTGAGCAGTACTCTGAACTAATTCTACATGATTCAGGTATGGATGATCCAGAAAGGATTCTCGTGTTAGCTGATAAAGAACTTTACTTGAATTGTGCACAGATACCATATACGGGGACGGCACTTTTGATAAAGTTCCCAACACGTTTTATCTGCCGTATAGGTGGCACGCCAACGTGGTCAAGAGTTATCCCACTGACCGTTACATCCAGTTGCAGACCTATACAAGAATGTTTGCAATAATGAAACTACTGATATCGGACATGTGCCAACAAAGGAGTTAGTCGATTTTGAGAAGACTTCTATTAACGCTGCAAGATTCGCATTTCCCGGCGAAGTATTCAAAGGATGCTAGGTCCACCTGCACCAAAGTATCATCACAAAAGTTGCAAAGTCGGCCTAAAGAGTGCTCTTGAAAGGAATGTCAAAAGCTAACTACAGCTGAAGTCGCTGGCTGCGCTTTCCTTAATCCCAGTCTCTGAAATGGAGAAGAGTTTTGATGAGCTTGCTAGCACATTTCCAAATGAAGTATCATATACTGTGGTGCTCAATTATTTCTTCGCTACTTACATTTAAGGGGAAGCAGACCGAGAACCACAGTACCAACGGAAAATGTAAAACCATTACGATGCGGTTGTCGATAGGTCACCGCGGGTCACCAGTTACTGCGGAGGAATTCACAATACTTTGAATTCCTCATTCCAATGCAGTCATCCAAGCGTTTCGGGCATTTGTTTGACGGACTACAGAGAGGACTTGGCATACCACAGACTTACACTAGCGAATGCGCGTGCAGGTCGCTTTGAGGTGAGGAAGAAAAGACGTGCTGCGTTGAAAGCTACCGTTGCTTCAAGTGTTTGAGATTGTGAATCAACGGGTGAACGGCATAGACATTTGGGAAAATTAGCTCATTTGCAATTATTTCCCATGTCGAGATATGTGAGCGCCGTATTATAAGATTCTTCATTTGGAAATGTGGCGCAAAAATCATTAAACACTACACTTATATCAACGACCGGTACAATGGTCAGTGTAGCCAGAGGCTTGAGTTTGAGTTTTCGGCTGACATCGATTTCAAAGGAAGTGTTTAGGCTCACGTTACTGACATTCCTTATGAGGCATTGGCTCAGGTGAAAATAGCCGACTTCGATTTCAGCGTCTACAAAAGGATGGTAAGCGAAGGCAGAACATCAACTCAGCCTGCTGACACACAGTGGGTTTCAGCTGCCGACTCGTTGAGCCCTCGAGTAACCGCAGTAGGCGAGCGATCCTTAGCCTGTGTAGTTCTGTAGATGGTTTTGCAACACTGCGCAGTACGGTACGTTCCGAGCGGTCAAACTAACGAGCACCTTGGGTGTGAATGCCATAATTGTCACAATTTGCTACTATTGAAGGCTAGGCCAAAAATTGAATCTTATAAGTGCCACAAATAGATAATATGGGCACTTGTGACAATGAGAGCAGATTGATAATATATGTATTCACTTCAGTGTGTGCAACCTTCCGTGTCCGCTTTTATGTCTGTGCGCTTTTCGCTGTGCGCAATGTTTGTGTGCGGTTCCTTCGTGTGCGCTTTCATCATGGAACCGTACGGAACAGAGACAACACGGTCGCTTAGCCACAGAAGGTCTCATCAAATGACAGTGAGAGCAATCAGTGCAATGAAGACTGAAAATTTTGTCACCATGCTCACTGATTAGTCGTGACGTGGAGTAACTACTCAAAGAATAGTGTAAATGAGTTACAAATATTGTGATTGTACTGGTAGGTGTAGTGAAACCCGATATGCCATGTAGAGGGGATTATAAAATGACAGAACAGTCACGCTAACCAATATAAGAAAACTGAGAGGAAGAAAGGTGACGCAACCTCAAGTGACTGAGTCGAAAACATAGAGGTAGATGGACAAAGAGGCTGTAGACCGGACGATACGGAAATGGGAAAGGTAAAGATAGTTTTAGTGCGCTAACCAAGAAAGCATACCGCAAAGAATTAACTAGTGGCTAATCGCACCAGCATGCATGAACCTGCGAGATAACAGGATTGAAACAATTAACTTCATATTACCAATGAATAAGGGGGACTTGGGTGCAAGTTCAGATACAGTTCGTTGCAAGACCCTAAGTCAGGTAGGTTCTCAAACGTCTAGAAAAGTACCAGAAGATCGTTTTGACCCTCTGGTCGACGTCAGTGGTGCATGTTCCTCGGACCCCTTCCGGGTTTCGACCCGATGACTTCTAGATGTAAACAGCTTATGCCACTAATCCATGGGTGAGAGTTGTGGATCTGCATGACTGACATTTAACTACGACAGCGCGGATCATCTTTCACTGCCATACCAGTTACGAATTGTGCAGAAGACTGGTTGGCCCCAGAGCTACGATTTTCCGCAGAGCGACTGTGTACGATACAGCACCAAGAAGCTATACCGATGGACTTCTATTGTTTCTTACTAAAGAGTGGTGCGGATTTGGGTGTAATTTCAGATGAGGTGCGCTGTCGGAGTCAACTGTCAGTCATGCAAGTCCGCAGCCGTCACCCATGGCTTAGTGCCACAGGCTGCTGGTATCAAGAAGTCGGATCCCGGCAGGGATTCGGGGAATGCGCGCCATTAATAAGACCCGGAAGGTTGAAACAGCCGTCTGGTGCTTTTCTAGAGGTGTGGGAGCCTGTGTGACTTATACGGGACTGCGATGAACTACATCTAAAATTAACCTTATAACCGGCATATGCCACCACCACGTTGGATGTTAAATATGAGTGTTCGTGCAAACTGCATCACTTCTTTCGCACAATGTGCAGGCCGGTTGGGTTGATGAAACGTAGATCCCATTCACATGCCTCAAGATCTCACTCTTTCGGGCTTTCCATGAATATGGCTTGTGTGGATGAAGCCGCGGGTGGTGCGGCGCAAGCCATCCATGGTCCCTCTGTAAGCGCAGGCGTCCTGTGGCTATCCCTGTGGAGGCCGCAGCGATAGGCAAATCCGGAACCGGATGTCGCCAACCGTACATATATATATATATATATATATATGCTTGTCGGAAAATTTACGAGCTGCCAAAGCCGATGTGACTTGTTACAATGCCAACGAGCGCCCACCACTGCAACGAGAGGTGAGCACACAGTAGGGTGTGGATCACATGTGTCAAACTCATGGTCCGCGGGCCACAACTGGCCCGGCGTAGAATTATATCTGGCCCACGGGAGGTCTTAGGCAAAAATATTGTTACTGACCCGGCGATAAAAAACCTATCTTTACAGTATTATATCGTTGGCTGCTGCTGCCGCTGCCGTGGGTGTCTGCAAGAAGGGGCTGGGAGATAAAGGCAACTTTGCTAGAGCAGTCGCTGCGCAGTG